CAAAAGAAAAAACACCTATGAAAAATTACGCAGTCAAAAATTAAGCTGTTTAAAATATATTTTTTGAGAAGTTATTATAGATGATGATACCTCAGGCTATTTGTCTATGACTGACCTCCAAAGTCACCTTGCATGTTAAAATAATACCATATTAAGCAGTTTCATTGCTGCTTGCAACACAAAAGCAATAAAAACTCTCTCATTAAGTCCTAGCTCAGCAAGGAGAAATACAGAGCAGTCCTTGAAGAATGCAACTTTAACCAGTAACTTAACAGAGTATGAGCAGACAAACCCCAAGAGCAAAATGAATAAGGAAATTCAATTTATTGTAATGCCCACTTACATGCATAGTGTGGGGAAAAAAAAGAAACAACCGAAACATAAACTTTTATCATAAACAGAAAGATGTAGAAAATGAAAATGGAAAACATGGTGTCACTATCAACACCAGTTCGGCATCATCTCCTAAACTATTACTGCTATTCCAGATTTATAAAGAGGAAAAAGAATCTCATGATTGAGCCAGCAGAACAATATTCTATGTGTATTCTACCTGTGGTTTATAATTGAGTACATAAAATAACCGAAGTAATCAATGAGGACAAAAGAAAACTTTATCCAAGGCCACTGTCTCCATATGCACGATTTGCTAAAGAATTCCAGATTCCCTGTTTAGCAAAGCTGATGAGATTCAAAACAGACGTGTAACCTTTATTCTACTCATTCTTTTCCCAGGCATGCTCTGCTATAGTTAACTCCCAGAAAACCCAAACCTACAGAGATAAAAAATACTCTTCCTACACTCTAAAAACCCCCGAAGAGCCTGCACACAACTCATTGAGCCGCTTCTCCTTTATCGCAATTCTGCGGTATTAAGGGTAAAATCCTTAATATTCCAAATACATCCATTCTTACTTATTAAAATTTAATACTGATATTTTGATTTATTAAGAACATGAAACTCACTGCCCTGATCATTTGTAGTCTTTCTATTAACAAATAGGAAGATAAACTTCAGAAACTTCATTCGTAACTCCTTCATCCACTGAGCGACTTACCTTTTGTGTGGTTCAGGAACATTTCTTATCTGACACATTCGATTTTTTTTTATTGTAAAACATACATAGTTTACAATTCAGAGCAAAACAGAATTGCTATGAAAGTAGTGTCACCTATTCTATTATGTTGGCCCGCAACATTAGAGGCAGACGTTCGTCATAAGGCAGTAGAAGTTGAACCTTCTCACCAATATTCCATTACATGCTGTTGCTGTGTGACAGATGGCAACAGAGGGGCAAGTCTGACAAAATGACATCTGACATGGAAGTATGTATGAAGCAAAGGTGTGGGATGAAATTCCTCCATGCTGAAAATAGTGCACCCACTGACATTCATCAACAATGGATGCGAGCACAGCGAGGCAGTGGGTGCTGCATTTCAGCAGTGGTGACAACAGATCACCTGCACTGGTGCCAGTTTTTACAAGCACAGCATGCAGACTCTTGTTCACCACTGGTGAAAATGCACAGCTAATGGAGATGATTATGTTGAAAACTGGTGTTTTGTAGCTGAGAGTTTGTTCTACCAAACAGTGTTATTGTGCTCTTCATATCAGTTATAGTTTCTACAGAAATAAGTAAAAGGCTTTACTTTGCAAGTGACCCATTATATCCTAAAACAGGAAAAACTGATATCTTATGACTGTTTCTCTGCTTCCTCTTAATAACATAGCTTAACCTGTATAAAATTCAAGATTGCTCTGTTTTTTTAAACTTACTCTCCACGGTTTTTGTTTTGAGAGAACTGACACACTATTTCTAATCATTCAAAGCCAGCCACACATCAGTGGTGCTTATTCACACTGAGGAAGCTCAAATGACAGCACAGAACAAATAATTATAGTATTCCTGGAATATTAGCTAATTGCATCAGTTCCTATAATCGTTGATATAAAAATGGAAATTAATTGATATGAGTTAAATAGGCATATACAGGTTATACAGAGATATTCATATTTATATATAAATGTTTAAATCCGAAATGTAGTTGCTAATTATCTTAAGTTCTGTTATTTTTTTTTTAAAGAGATTTGATTTTAGGACACACAAAAGAAGCTATTAATATGCAAAAACTTTAACAAACTTCTCTTTTTTCCACACATTTCAGGCTTTGAACACATTTATATAAGTTGCTTTCGTTACAGTGACCTTGCCTGGGAGATCTTAGTCTTGCCTAATCTTAATTTTCACAAATTTCTATGGTGTTGCAAGTTGTAAAAGGTTCATGTCTCAATATATTTATTTTTTTGAGCCATTTATTCTAGACAAGCTACAGTCTATTCACTCCAAGATAGTCATCATTGCAGATAAATGATTCGACCCATCTCTTTGGGAAATCTATTTCAGTGAAAAGTTTTTCTTTGTCAGGCAGAAAGCTTATTTATGTTATTATTAATGTTATTATTATTATGTTAGGTAGAAAGATTATTTTTGTATCTTTCTCACATTCTCTTTTCATATGACAGGTTTTAAAATGCTTTACTTTTTTCTTAAACAGATTGTCATTTGTTAAACTGAAATCTTTTTTGCTTTAGTCCCTTTTAAATACTGAAAGAATAGCAGAGGGAGAAATGGATCCCTATATTAAAGAAATATGTTGAATAAAACAGAACTGCATCCTCTACTGATCATTAGATTATCATTCACATAACTATCTGTTATGCTTGAATATTTCCTAGATTCACTAGAAAAAGGCCATATTAGGCAAAAATCGTACTTTTGAAGGCAACAATATGGTACAAGATTAAAGTCTTATCCAATTTTTTTTTGTTTTAAAACTACATACAGACATCTCATTTTTCTGAGAATTTGAACTTCAATTTCCCAAATATTTCTCTTGGATCCTAAACTCAGAAGAAAGCATTATTAGTCATTACTTGATTAATAAATTGTTGATTGATTTTTGACAGTTTAATGCCACACTAGCACTTGTGATTGTGTTCTTACATACTTCCTGAAAGAGAATAGAATCTTTGCCTAAGATTAAAGCTATGGCTAAGACTTTGCAAATGAACAAGTAATGCAAATTAGTCTGAAGATTCTCATCCTTTCTTCCAGTATAAAGACGACAAAAAAAAGTAAAAAAACCTACTTAAACCAACAAGCAATTTATTCCATAGGAAATTCTTCAGGTAGATTGGACAAATTGTAGTACCATTCTAGAATATCTAGAATAAATTGTTACAGGTGAACCATTTGCAGTTTTGTGTAAATGTTTTAGAGAGTTATCCTTGGCATTCTGTAGTTTTCACCTAAATCCTAGCAAATTCAACTCATGAATTTCAATGAATCTTTTGACCCAATGGATACTTGTGAATGAAATTCAATCTAGCAGGCTGCTCAGAAGAAAAGACTGATGCCTCAACTCAGAAAGAGAGGTTCAGCTGGAACCATTGATTATATACATACCAACTAATCATTTAAATGGTCAAGAGAGCAGCACAGTAGTTGACAAACTAGCACAAGTCCTCACACTTATCCACCTTTTATTAGGAAAGTATAAGAATCCTCACTCAGCATTTGCAATTTAAAAATGGAAGAGAAGCAAAGCTGAGTGAAACTGCAGACAAGTTTTGATCTCCCTTTGATTTTGATTTTCTGCACTGGCTGTTTTTCTGCACTGCATAAAAATAGCATCATACTACTTTTATACTACCAAGCACAGAATTATTCAGGAAGGCTTACATGCCAAAATCTAGTATCTGTGAACAGAGCCTTAAATAAAAGTGAAAAGATATAGGACACCTAAAGGAATAAATGTCTCTGCTTTTCTTCATTCTAAATCTTTAAAGTCTAATGATGTAGTTTTCTAGGTTAGCAGTAAGAAGAATTTATGATACCCAAAAGCTTTTTATACAACACTACAAATATAAACTAATACTTCATTACCATCCTTAATATTTATCTTCACATCCTCTCCCTGAATCTGACCTGTAACTGCAGATATTTCAAGAAAAGAAACCTGACAACATATATCAAAGGGATACTAAAGACCAAAAATAATTTGAAATCTTATTGAACATCAGATAGTATTTGCATTCTTGTCTTGTACTTAAATTATCCATTTCAAAGTGTTTTTTTCTTTTTCCTGTAGTTTTCAAATAAATCCTGTTGTATAACTTCACTGACTAGAAGCTGGAATTACAAATTTTTGTGTTGCAATAGCAATTGAAGATTTGTAACAGAAAGTGAATGTGTCTCTATTCACTGAATCAATCTAATCTTTTTAAGATTTAGCCTAAATTGAAAGCATTAATGCATTTGTTCAGCTCTGAAAAAAAATCATAGAAACACAGAAACAATTCTTAATAACTCTATAACAAGTAATGAATTTTCTGTGAAACAAGCCAAAACTGGATGCCAGTATCCCATTACATTGGACTATTTAGGAAGACATGACAGTAAAAGGAAAAAAATATCTGCTCATGAGTCCGTTAAGACTAATGATTAAATGTAGATTCTCCTAGTCATATCTTCCATTTGAATTCATTAAAGTTACTTCTATTTTTATGTTTATTTTTCCCTATAGGCAAAAGTTATTTTGTCACCACAAAGCTCCTAAGCCTATCTGCCAAAAACTGCAGAGATAACAGATTTTAAAAACAATTGAGTATTTCCACATGGGATGTAATAAATTGTAATCAAACACTTTAAAAATACCAGCTCATTTAATGTTGTTCCTTAGTATTTTGGCAATATTTAACATTTTGAAAACATACTAGAACTAGCAAACTAAAAGAACAACAGGTTCCTATTCACATAGGAATAATGCTTACTCAAATGTCTACTTCTGCTTTTAAGATATTCTGTATGTAAACATTATACAATAGCTAGTAAACTTACAATAGTGCAGTAGCTTTAAGTAAGTAGAACTGAACAGGTAGACTGCTGCCCACGCAACATGTACCAGTTTAGCATCCGTACACACTTCAGGTTTCTCACCTTGTCAATCATTTTACGGGCTTCCATTTCTTCAGAATTGGGATTTTCCAACTCAATAGTGTAAGTACCTTTGTCACTCTGGTCATCCTCATTGTCCTTCTCAGTAGCAGCAGAAATATGTTGGCTTTTCAACTTTTTGTCCATCTCCTGGTTCTGACTAGGCCTATGGCCAAGGCTTCCTGAACTCCTTAACAACGCAGCTTGAAAGACAGGTAATGCAGCAGAGGGATCTTCTGATTTTTGTTTTAATAGTTTTGCATGAACACTGTGTGCTGCTCTATGATGTGATGAACTACCTTGCACACACGAAGGGGCAGCTTTCTCTCCTGATGTAGGTTTTGCTCTTTCAGCTCGCACGTGAGGTGTTGGAGATGGGGATTCTGAGCACAGAGCTCCTACATTCTGAGAAAAAGAGTAAGAACGTCTCTTTCGAGGATGGTCCTCATCAAAAAACTCAATCATAAAAGCAGTCTGATTCACACCAGCTTGCTCTTGCTGCTTTTCTGCAGAATGGACTTTCTGGTGCGACTTTTTCAGCTCTGCATGGTGGTGCCTCAAGTGCTCTTCAAGTGCTGCCCGCTTACTGTAATGCCGGTGGGCACCAGCATTTTCTGAATCACTCTGCGTACCATCATCATGCTTATTCCCTACAACCAAAGCAAAACAAGATATAGCAATATGAAACTATACAAAAAATTCAACATATACATAAGAAACTGGTAAACAAAGAAAGAAGTGAAAATTGATTTTCTGTGTAGAATCAAACACTTCTCTGTAGCTGCAAATCTTGTACAACTGCTGCTTATAGACAGGCTGACCAATAATATCAAACTACCCTTTTCATCAGTATTTTAATCTGCAAATACTTATCAATGATTTACAGAAGGCAGCATTTTACTAGCTGTAAGGCAGTAAGGAAACAGCTTGTTTCCCAATTATATTACCTTTATTACACAGACAATTGAATTACTGAAACATTCTTGGTAGACTTAAAAGGAAGAAGAAAAACCTAAGGTAATCATTCTGGTAGGTGAGAATACATGTCAAATCACAATTGATATGGTTAGATTGTCTTTTCCTAAGACAATGGTTTATCATGAGAAAAATCTACAGAAAATTTGAATTAATTCTTTATTACTCTTTCCAAGAAGTACAATAAATTATTCTATCATTCATTCCTCACACCATCTGACGTATGTATGCAAAATGGCTGTTATTAATTATTCATTCCTCAAACTACTTCATGATCTGTGAATTAGGACTACACATTTCATAAATCATATATAAATGCATATTTAAATATACTTAGCAATAATGCCTGAAAAATGTATGGAAGACTGGGTACTCATACACAATGTCACATTTAGCTTTCAGCAACTTCATTTCATGTACAATGAACTAGCCTACATCTTAAGTTTTACTGCAATTCCTGTAAAGAAACAGTTTTGTTATCTTTAAATTATTTTGTATCAAGACTTACTCATGTATACACAGAATGTACAAGTGATTTTTTTTTCCCCTCTTCTGAAGAGGATAGCTTTAGATGGCTTTCCCACATGCATCATAAGAACACTCAGCTACTATTCTTGTAAATGATAATTGTATGCTGGGAAACCTTACGTAGCAGGTTAACAGTACTGAATACACAACTGAAATCTTTACTGCATTTCTTTGGCAGAGACCTCCCTTTGTCCCTTATTTGTACAGCGACTAAGAAAATGGACAGACATCAGTATAGTAACAATACATATCAACATCACTGTGAAAGTCTTATAAGAATTCTTGCAGTGCAAATTCAGTATAAGGTACTGTAGGAAAAAGTTGAGGAGAAAAATGAGAATGATTTTAAAAAAGTGGAAAATTCTAACTTTCAAAGCTAGATACATTTTGTAGCCTTTTGAACAAAGCAGAAGTAAAGAGTAAGAATATGAACAGATCTCCAAAGATTACAAAATTCAGATGTGTTATGGCCAAATGCAACCTGTAACTTACACCTTCCTAAGCAAAAAATAAAAATAAAAAAGAATCAAACATCCAGGAGATTCTGCTGCCCGGACGGTCAAGGCCTCGTAAACAAAATTGTTCCTGTTTATCAAACATAGTACAATACCATGAAGATCAAAGAATGCTCTGCGACACCCTGTAGAAGAGCTTTTATGCCATTATTTCAATGTTACTGTAGTCATGCAATTCTTGTTTTGAAAGTGCTATTTTATAGCATATTTTGGAAGAGTTGGCCTTAATATACAGACTTCAGATCAATAAAAGAAAACTCACTGTACAGAATCCCAGCTACTTTAAGAGTTAAATATGATAGCACTGCAAAATTAATAAAGTTTGAGTACCAGAGTTAACCTTCTGACAGTAAAAACAGAAAGTGACAGAGAATAACTTGAAAAATTTCTTCAGAACTTTCATTCTAAAAGTTTGAATTTTAGTGGAACCCCTTCATCTGAAAATGAAAAACTGTTTCTACTCTATTCTGCAAAGTTGGATCCGAAAGAAAGCACACTTTCCATTCAACATTTAATTTAACTTTATTTGAAACATCACTGTCTGAAGTAACTGGAACTTCATCTAAAAGCAGCATTCCTATAAAAATTCTGAAAGCATAGTAAAAAAAGGAAATCCTTTGTTAATTTCAGATTTCACACTCAAGCCTGACTTCATCATACATGATTAATATCATCAAAAGAAGTGTATGATTTACCTTTTGTCACCAAGTGATTTTCTCAGAGTACTTCTGAATAATTTGTACTTCAGAACTTTGACACTATCAAGCAATCCAGCTTTTTAAAACAATGCACAGGAAAAAATGAGATGTATGAACTTCAACTAAAGCCTTGGGTTTTTTATTCAAAATCACGATTTAAATATCTGATGATTGCCTTTGTACCATACTTAGCTGTACAAGAATATCCCCAACCAGTATACTTACTAGAAGATGATTTATTATTTGGTTTTCTATCATCTTTTTAATACTCAGTGGTGCAGTAAGATTTCCCAAGCACAAATCCTTGTGCTCCTGCAGAGTATCTGTAATTTCCACTGAACTCTGCAAGGGCTCAGGGATCCACTGACTGGATGCTTGTGAAGAATTGCTATCCTCAGAAATAAGCATAGCTGGAATTATTCACGTTACCTTTCAGTCTCTTCAAGTACACTGGAACATCACTCTTAATACTTTTGGAATCCTCCTCTGTTGGCTCCCAAATCATTCTGGGAGGATTGTTCTGTGCTAGCCAATCTGCCACTTTGCTCTCTGCGGCCATCATCACAGTCTGAAGCCCAGGCAGGTCCTGACCACTGGAGGAAGAAGGCTTCTTTGACTTGTGGCGCTGCTCAGATGTGAATTTTGTCACGTGATCTTTGATTGTTACTTTCCCTGGTGTGTTGTCATCAAATTCAATGGTAAAGGAAGCATGTCCTGCACTTGCTGCATGGGAACTTTGGGTGTCTTTTGTTGGAATTTCATGAATAGCGCTCTCTGCTACCTGTGAAGTTTGCTGGAATTCTTTTGTAGGAATTTCAAAATAACTTGGCTCCCTACAGAAAGGATAAAGTTCTTCACTTGCAGCTGCAGATTGCTCCTCAGCTTGCTTGGCATCTGTGCTGCATCCTATTAAGAAAAATAAAAGATAGATTTCACAATACTTGGGAACTTCAGGTTCTTCAAGAATTTTCTGAATTTCTGCAAAGGCCACTTGAGTAACTTCTGGAATAAACAGTAAGACTGTGGAGAAGACTGAGCAACGCAGCTCTGGAAAAATAATTCCAGAATTACATATGAAAAGCATTACTGAAAAGACAGCACAAGCTCTGGCTGTAAGGAGTGTAAAGCAGCAGAAAACTCACTTCGAATTTGACAAAGGAAGTCTGCATTCCAAAAATGTTTGGACGATGTAAAAGTCACAGTTATTACTAACAGGGGAAACAGGCAAAAAACATGATAGAAATTGCTGAGATTATAGTCACTGCAATTTCAATCTATTTAAAGAAACATCAGATCAAGGTCTCCCTAAAACAAGTGCTAGTGATCTGGCTTTATCTCATTTTGTGCAGAGCTAGTATAATTTTGGTAAAAATCTTTGGAAAAACAATTCACACACTAACACAAGATCAATGTTAAGACTGACTTGAAAATTTTAACCTTAATAAGCACTGGATAATGTTTTGGAATTCAAGCACCTTTTATGTTTCTATAAAAGGTAAAATCCAAGAATCTAGCTAAACTCTATCATCATCTGCTCTTATTTTACTTGTTTCCAGTTTGTAGAACAGGAAAAGCAACAATAGCTGGGAGCATGCAGAATGTTACAAAACCATGCTCTAACTGGGTAAAAAAAGCAGAATATGGAAAAAGCATGGGGAACTTCCACGTTATAGCATGAAAGAAGGTTAAGGCTTCTTGTGGTTGCTCAAAAATCTACAATCTTCTGGTTGCAGTTCATTAAGCAATAAGCCAGCCAAAGTATCAGGTGTAAAGATGTGCAACAAGCAGCAGACGCTTGAGATGTTAGCAGTAATGGCCAGTTAGATTCCAGCAAAGAATACTGAATAGCTCCTTTTATCATGAATCGAGATGTTTAAGAAATCACTTTAGCTTGCCAAGAAGATAAATAAGAATGCAACTAATAGATTTCTGGAGGTAGAAACAGTCAATATATCAGCTGGCATAATAAACATTTATGTATGAAATTATTATGCAACAAGGCAGAATTGGAAACATGCATACTACAGACACGAATTTAAGGAGTCAAATGTGCAGGACAGCTCAATACGTGTTCTTCACTGACATGCTTTTCATGAAGGTTTAGGAAAATGTTAAAAACTAAGAAATACAGGATAGTAGTTCAATAAATAGAATGAATCAAGGAATAATATAATAGCTGGAAAAAAATAAATTAAAAAGGGGGGAATGTTATTAAGGTATAACAAATAATACATATTCTTTATACACTGCCATGCTTGGATACCAACAGGAAAAAGTAACTCTGGTGAAGGTACATGATTAATTCATTTTGTCTAGAAGTAGCCACTGCAAACACAAAAGATGTTTTTTTGTAATTGCAAAGCATGCTGTTGCAAGCCAAGAACACCCTTTGCAATCTCATTTTACCGATGCATGTTCTTTCCAAACAGGTCCCTGCACTACCAGGTCTTAATCCATCCTAGATTACCTCAAGTCTGGAGGGTAGTTTTTAGGCCCTACAACAGCACCTCACTACTCCACATCCTGGGAAATGGCAGCCCTTCCCCTTCTCCCCCCACATGGAAGCATGAAGAAGACAAAGCAATATAATGTCTACAAGGAGGAAGACTCCAAAAACTCTCTGGATAGCCAGTACTAGTGCTCAGTCACTTGCACAGTAAAGAAGTGCTTCCTGATGTTTAGAGGAAACTTCTTGTGTTTCAGCTTAGGCCCATTCTTTCTTGCCCAGGGTACTGAGCAACACTGAAAAGAGCCTAGCTCTGTCTTCACTGCACCTTCACATTAGATATTTCTATATATTTATAACATCTCCCCAAGTCTTCTCCAGGCTGAATAGTCTCAGCTCTCAGCCTCTCTGCACAAGAGAGGTCCTCCAGTCTCTTGATCATCTTATTTGATTAGCCCTTTGTTGGACTCACTCCAGGAGCTCCACATCTCTCTTGTACTGGCAGACCCCAGAAGTGGACAGTACTGCAGGTGTGGGCTCATCTGTGCTGAGAAGAGGGGAAAAAAATCACCTCTCTTTACTTGCTGCTGATATGTTTTTTATTGTAGACAAAAATACCATCGGTCTTCTTACCAGCAAAGGCATGTTGCTAACTCACATTCAACTTACTGTCTACCAGGATCCCCAGGTCCTTTTCTACCAAGCTGTCATCCAGCTGGATGGTCCCCAGCACGTACCAGTGCTTGGGTCTGCTCTTCCCCAGGTGTGGGATTTTGGACTTCTAATTGAATTTCACGAGATTCTTGTTTACTAAGATACTATACTTGACATCATATTTCTCTCTAACCAAAGAATTAAGAAACTGGATTACAAACATAAAGAAATTTCCAACTAGAAAAAAAATCTTAGAATTCATCTTATGGAAAATATTCCAAGTTCAAGCTAATTTTCATAACTTAAAAGTGCTGTTTTCTGACCAAAGTACTTACATTTTATAGAGTTAAATATTGTTTATTCTAATCAATAATACTATTGGAAACAAGGATGAAACAAAAAATAACAGAAATCCTGAGCTAAATCACCCTTCAGAATTTTTCACTGAAAATATGACTGCAAGTACCTACAGCTTTGTATTACAAAAGTAAAGCTACATTATAGTGAACTCATAATAAATCATCAGCCAAGCTGAAAGAAATTACATATAAAACCAAATGTAGATATAGAAGACAGTTTCAGCTATATAATTAAGATAGCAAATAATTAAGATAGCGATCTTCACAGCTTTTTAACTGTAATTGACTTCTGTTTCCTAAAACCCATTTAAAATTCATGACTTCCATCTTTTCTTATGTTTCTAGCAGAATTTTACAGCAATAATGCCTTTACAACTACTACTAAGATCAGCAGAAATGTATTTTTCACTTTTTCAAGAAATAAGAATACAACAAATGGACAGAATAGTAATTACCTGTCCAGGAACTTGTCACTAGCATGTAATCTTAACAGATGCAGCACAAATAAAATAGTTGTACTGTAGGTAACTTTGCAGCAATCGATTGTAAGTGGGGCTATCAGGGTCATGGATAATTAAATAAGATTAACAAGCATGTGAGAAAAAAACAAAAAGTCTTCAACTTCTTGAGATTTCCCAGGCTTTCCTGATGTTTGCAAATAATTTCCATTAGTGAGCTTCCACTGAGGTAGGAAGACAGTAACAGTGACATAAGCCTATTAACTTGAGACTGTAGAGACTAATTGTCTATAGTTGGCTTGGCAGAAACAAATCTCCCGTTTGAATCTCCTCATTAAACCTTCCCCATCTGTTATAATTCATGCCTTCTTTTCTATTCAAGAAATAATCATGTAAAAAAAATCATTAAAGCATGAAGCAGATTATTCATAGGATTAATTTGTTAAAATGGTATCAGGCTTCACAGATTTGAGATACTGAAGAAAGTTTCAAAACTCACATAAGAGTTTCTTCAGTGAATTCTTGTAGGCAGTTTATAATATGAAGTGTGAACCAAATCTGCGCTTTAAACCCATAAAGAAAGTGAAAATATGTATCCATTTTGAAAAGTTTTTATTAAATTAAAATTTGATGTTTAGTTAAAAAAATCTAAACATGAAGGTCTTTGAAGTTTCTTATTTTCCTTCATTACAGTGTTTCTTTACATCAATTTCTAATAATTAAGTTCACCTACATTGCAAGACTTCCGCGCACGAAGAAAATACAAACTAGGTTGCTGAAAATTAACTTGATGGAAGTTGCATGAAATTTACATGGAATGTAAGTAGGCCAAAGAGGCCTGAAAAGCTTAACTATATAATTCTATCAAAATGTTCAGAGTACTCTTTGTACACTTCTGTAGTGTTGCAGCTATTGTCTGGGGACTGAGAAGGTAAATACCAGCAATCCCTTTGCAAAATCTCTTGATAAATATATTAAAAATATGAAACATTTAATGCTATAATGTCTATAAAAAAATAACTTTAAAAAAGGAAAAAAGAAGAATAGCTACCAAATAGAACCTGGAGTCTTGTGTCATAGCTTGTTAAGGTACTGCACCAAAACCACAGACTTCAGGATACTATTTTTTTAATAAGCCTATATTTAAGAGAGGTGAACAACATGCATGATTTTATGTTAAAATGTTGGTAGATAAATGCAAGTACAAGAAGCCTTGTGATTTATAGGTTTTTTTTTTTTAATATTAGTTTGCTAAATACATGGTCATCAAAGAAACAAAATCACAAATACCATAGACTTTACCACCCCCATTTTGGTATACAGACAGCACAGGTTTCATAGTCAGTGTATCAATGGCACGACTGGAAGGCAAGGACTTGATTCTTATTCTTTGTAACTGATGTCAAAACACACTGCCCCATCTGTTATAATTCATGCCTTCTTTTCTATTCAAGAAATAATCATGTAAAAAAATCATTAAAGCAGATTATTCATAGGATTAATTTGTTAAAATGGTATCAGGCTTCACAGATTTGAGATACTGAAGAACAGGTGGAACAACATCTAACAGCCTTAGTATTTCATTATTATTGCCAATGGAAAAAGAAAAAATTGTATTCCCTAAGAATGCTTAGAAGTGTTTGAAGAACATCTTCCTACCCAAGATTTCCACTGCACGTTACAGAGTCAGAGATTACTAATTTGGGCTATTAAACCCAGAACTTAAAAAGCCTCTGTCACTGGAGTCCACAGTAACACCTCACACCATCCATAGCAGAGAAAACCTTTTTACAAACAGACCCACAAACAGAAAGTTTGCAGTACTGCATTACAATGCACTTGTTCCAGATGCAACACAGTTGTTTCAAGAAAACTGTCACTACAATAAAATATTTCACCTGGGTTTCTTCTCTATTAGTTCAGATCTTAAGCAGCTTTCTGTCTGCAACTTGAGAACTTTAAACTAATAAGAGATAGTTTACTGAAAGCTATGGTGGAAAAAAGCAATAAAGAAATTCATTTTACTACAGTGATGTTAGTTTTGTTTGATTTCCTCATGTTTAGAGTTCATTTCAATTCCTCTTTATTAGAAAAGTTATTCTATTTATATGCCTGATGATAGATTTAGGGGTCTAATTATAGACATTGAGATCTGTGTTTTGGCAACACGTGCTGCAAGCAGACAACCAGACTATCCAAAAAAATCTATACTATGGGGAAATAAAACTTATCAGCTTAATTTCAGACTATACAAATGTTTGCATGAAATACAGGATGCAATCCCTGATAATGCAGATTATGAAATTACAGGACAGAAAGCACTAACCACCTTATATAGTCAAGACTCAAACACAAAAATAAAATAGCACATTTTCAGAAGTGATTTCCTTAAGACATCCCACTGCAAACTCTAATTTTTAGCATGGGAAATAACAGATTGACTAAACTGATAAGTAAAAAAACAGTACTTCAGGTAATATTTTCTAAATTTACTGACAAAAATTGTACTGATACTAAAGAACTGATACACGTCTGAAAAACTTCTCTGGAAACTTCTAGTTTCTTGCAGAATAATTTTTAAGGTAGATTTTTATTAAGTTTTCATCTATGCAATCTGTCAAACTTCCAAAAACAACATTGTTTAGATGTCTAGTTCACAATACATGAAACTCTACTAAACAGCAAAAGCTCCCCAAGGAATTAGAAAAGAGAGAGAAATGAGATTTACCTGAAGCTGCCGTCTCATGCATTTTTTCTTCACCTTTGCCATCTGGTTTACAACCACCTTTTTCATCAGCTTCATCCTCACCCCACCAAGCTGGCTGTCCATACAGCGGTGTACCACGAGGCATGGTAGAAAGATCTATAAAAATAGTGCAAAACCGAGGAAATTGCTTTTGTGTTTAGTTGAGTTGCTTTGATTCAAGAAACAAGAGAGAGATTTATTGGGATCATTTCTCCTGGAAGCTGAAGTGAATTTGTTGCACGCATTTGCCTAAATACAAAACCAATTTAGAGACTGGATAAGTGATCTGAGTTCTAAATATAAAAGCTTACTAATGACCTGATCAAAACTTCTGGCACAAACACTTCTGCAAAGGCAGCTGACATCTCTTATTGTTGCCCTGATATATCTGCAAACACTATTTTCTGCATTGAGCTTGAAGTTGTCAGTACAGCAGTACATTCCTAAAAGCTGTTCACTGCTATTCCTATGAGAAGACTGTCACTTTTATCCACATTGACCTTTCGCTGAAATCTGAACTCAGTGCATGAAAAACTGACCAAAATTTTGCAGTGTTGCCAAGGTTCCAAATTGCTGACAGACTGCAGAGTGCTGAAAGTTATCAAGTGTAAAACACTAGCGAGCAAAATTATTTTTAAAACAAACCGTAGTTAAACTGCTGTCCAATAAAGGAAAAATATTATACAGAATGCATACACAAGATTAAACATATTTAAATTCAGAGGTTAAATAAAAAAAAAAAGTACTGATGTAATTAAAATTTCTGCTTTCACAACAACTTATTGGACTAGTTTTCATCTGACCTCCCCTCCTGAGAGTTTATTCACCATACTCAGATTTTAGTACCATATGGATGTTCTGAGGTTACTTTAAACAGTCTTTATATAAAGGCTCGTGACCTGCTTAAATGTAGCTTAGTAGTTATCTATTACTTTGCCTGTCACGAATGTTTATTTTGCATTTTTCTTCAGTGCTTTATTCAAAGCAATTCCAAAGACTCGATACAAACTTCAGTCATGGCAAAATTCAGCATAATTTAAAGATAAAGTAATTTTATTTATAAATAAATATTTATAAAAAAATAAATTTATTTATTTATAAATAAAAAAACAGCCTTACACTTCTACTGAACAGTTCTCAAAAACTTGATGGGAACAGCTTTGCAAACATACAACAACAGTGAGAGAACAAATCCCCTAAAAGCTTATCAGTTGTAGTCAAATCTAAATCATTAACTTTTACTGTTATTTTTGAAACAGTCAAGAGAAAAGGGAAGTTGAGGAGAAAAAAATCCACAGCACTACATAATGAAAACGTAAGGGGCTGAAAAACAATATAAGATCAGAATACTGAAGTATTGGTTTGGCTTTATGTACCCATAATAGGATGCTAGATTAGATAAAATTAGTTATACCACTGAGTCCTACAGGTGGTGGAGAGAATTATATAAAGTAAGCTTTCCAGAAGATAGATTACAGCTCAACAGCACGGTAACAGCCATTAACTAAGGAACTGGACCTAAATGGACTCATATGAAATGCACAATACCCTCCAATACCTTTCTCATTTGTGTGGTTATGTCCTGTGCTAACAGGTAACACAGCAAGGAATTATAATGAGAAAATTACAAAGCGAACAAGCCACACAATGTATTTAAGACAGCCTGGGCAAAGCCACTATGACACAATATATAGATACAAAAGTTGTACTATGTGATCTTAGAGGTCTTTTCCAACCTTAAAGACTCTATAATTCTATGCTTATAATACATCTAAAACGCAAAACGCCTTAAAAACAAAACATCCATGTGTGTAATTTCACAGACACTCTAGCGAAGCAAACAAACATCTCTTCCAAGCTTGCATGCTTCTGCAGCAAAAATGCACCTTACCTATGGATTTCTCTTCAGATTTCAGTGCTTCAGTAGTCTTGTGGTGCACTTCAGCTGTGGAGTCTGTTTCTTTGGGTTCTGAACTTTTGGAGCTGGTTTGCTTTGACCCTTCTGCCTCTGAAGATTTCTGGGATAACTGGAGTTGGCTTGTAAATTTTTCATGCTACGTGACATTAAGTAAATAAATAAATTTCAAAGAATGAAAAAAATCTTTTACCAATAACCACGCAATGACAGAGCACCACCAAGGCACAGGCCATTGTTACCTTAAGAGCTTCTTCAGGGACTCTCATCTCTCCTCTGACAACAGTAAAAAGATTAGTATGTGGGAAACGCTAAGGAAAACACACTGCTCACAAGAGGATTTTCTACAAAGGCAACAGTTCTGCAGCCTGTTCTGCCATTCCAACAGTAAGAACTGTTCTACACATTTATCACTGTTAGGACTAGCGTGTAGAGTAGTACTTGTAAAAGAAAATGCACAACACAATTACTTATTACTTATAAATAGATCATTGAATAGATAACTTCATGTTGTAAAACTACACTTTTTTCTTCTTCCCTCATACAGTAGAATACTTTGAGTATTCTCCTCAAAGTACTGTTTCTCAACAACACAAAAGTGACAAATAAAAGTGGTATAACAAGAGGGTTTGAAATAAAGGTTTGAAACAATAATTGGAAATCAAAGTCTCTTTTAGTGAGAAACATGAGATGTACTTGATCAATATTTCTGATCATGGTACAGTATTCAGCAATTTTCTCTAATATGGGCATTTTTGTTGTAAAGAGAGATACTTAAAGTCCTCAAATACAATGAGAACCCTTCATTTAATGCAATTATACTTTCCTCATGAGAAGTGTGCATCAGCACACCATGCATTTTCTTCTGACAAGGATATCATATCCAAATCTCAGTTTATCTTCTAATTTCAGAGTGATGTATGTCTGCTCCGGAATCCTCACATCGTTTACAAATGTCTGTAGAAATAAATGAGGACAGAAAGAGATACTATCAAACTGAAAAAAAGCCAACAACCTAACAAAACAAGCTACCCAACAATCAATCACTATACTAATTTTATAAAGAAAAGTTTTCAGCACTGCAAATTTTCCACTGTTGATTCAGTGGGGAACATTCCTTCAAATTAGCACTTATTTTTCTTGTAGCTTGCTTTTTCAATTCAATTAGACATCAGAACTGATTTATCGTCATCTTTGTGCAACACTTTTTTTTCAGTATTTAATGTCGGATATGCAAGTTCTGAGGTAGCTTGAAAGTTACGTACACTGTAAAAAGACTTTAAGGAAAACAAGTATGGACCAAGTTACTGCATCCAAATTATCTCCAAAAAGCAGTGATAAAGAACTCATGTATTGTGACACCTGAACAACAGCAGGCATAACAATATTTGTAAGCAAAATTAACATCATTACACCAGTGAGCAGCAAAAGTCTATTGTTTTGACAATACCTTTTGAAAGTTCACTTGTTGTACCATAACTAATTCTCCCTCCTTCAAATCACTGTTGGAAACAACTGGAGAAATCAGACAAGCTTTCACCAATTTAAAGAAGGACTTATGTACCCGAAAGACTGCCCAGTTTCACCAGCCATAGCCATTGGCTGTTAGAGGCAGTGCAGATTAATTCGGACCTGAAATCTTATGGCTGAAAACAAGAAGAAACTCACAAAAAGATCTTGGCATAACTTCAAGAGAACACCTGAGATACAACAAGGAGGAGGAATAATACATGTTCAAGTCAAAATGGATCTCAGAAAGGGAAACTGTAAGACAACAAACAATTTCATCTCTGTGGGGAAAGAAAAAAAAAGGGAATGTAAACAGAGCTTGAAATTAAAGCTCTACAGAAAATTCTAGAAAGTTGCTAGTCAAAGTTATATTATCCCTGAAGGCATTCAAGGCCAGACTGGATGTGGCTCAGGTCTAGTGGTTGGCGACCCTACGCATGTCAGGGGGATTGAAAGTAGATGATCACTGTGGTCCTTTTCAACCCAGGCTATTCTGTGATTCTACGTTACCTCCATAACATTCTGAAATTGGCAATGGCTCCTGTAACAATAGGGAAAAAAGAAAAAAAAAGAAAAAAAGACAAACAAATCTTTCCACTTGGGGGGAAAAAAAAAAAAAAAAAATCAACCAACTAAACTGGCAATTGAGCTACAATTTAAAAAGATGACATTAACTCTGCACTCAGACCCTTGAAGAATCTGTCCACCATATGAGCTGACAAAAACTTCTGCACAGCATCTTCCCTTAAACTGTTTCTGAACACTAAATTCAAATCAGCACAGAAGAGCTAAAGTTTACACTCTCCTGGCCTCTCGAAATCCTCCTCCTCCTTTTACCCAAAAAGAACATAACATCTGGCCTTATAGCAACGTAGCACCTTCCTTGTAAGAAATATGACTGATCAGTTACTCATGACTTCTCTCTCATTCCTTACATTTACTTCCCTCATCCTCTTTCCAAAGCCTTAAAAAGCCTTAATTTCGGGCAAATTCAGGGCAAATAAAATATTTATGGCTCAGCTCGTATGAGTCTGTTGCAATATTTTATGAATTATTTAGCAGTTGTATTATTTTCTGTACCTCACACAAAAATCAATTTTACAGCTTCCTGTTCATTTTTATTTTTTAGAATGACTAAACATTAATTCTGCAGACAGGAGATTGAACATGGAGCACCCAGATTAAAGCTATTTACATTGTTTTGTGCCATTTTCAGGGTCTCAAAATACCAGCAGCCTGCAGAAGGCTGCAGGCACTGCAAATTCAAACTTGAAAAAAATCTACAACAATATCTACATGTTTTTAAGAACTGGAGCAGCTCAAGTCTGCCACTTTTAAAGCACTTTGAAGTTAGGAGTGCACACAACAAATAAATCTTTTATAAGTAAGTCAAGTATCCAAATCTTTAAACACTTGTTTTGTTCATTTAAATAAATCCAGTATGAGATCAAGTCTCCAAATACAGAAAGGATTACCTTCCTCCAAGTAATACAAGGCTCTTCTGTTTTATTTTAATTTTCTAACTAAATAGCAATTTAATTTTCTTTTTTTTTTTTCTACTAATGCTCATCTTGGTCATAAAACTGACTATTTTCTATGATGTAGGTGACTTCTCTAAGAAATAAGAATTAAGAATTCCTGTCTAGCAAGCCTAAAACTTAAGAGTAGTATTTAATGCATATTTATTCTAATTAAACATTATGAGAGCCCAGACATGCAAAGAGTATCCTCAACACAGCCTGAATTTCAGTACTGGTCTAGAAACAGAAAACTGGAACTTTCCACAAGCATGCTGAAGAGTAAGACAGAGGTGCAAGGCTAGCATATTTGACCACAGAATAGGCTCACGCTACTAGAAGCACAAAAATAAGCTGCCACTCCCGAACAACGACTGGGTAAAATAAAGTGTCTGAAGAACCTGGATCCTCAAATGCCAGACAGAACTTCAGCTGTTTCACTCAGCGTAGTGAGAAAATGAGCACCCTTAAGTACGTACAGGTGGCAGCTGAAAGCATTAGCTACAATGCTAAAAAAAAAAGTTATCTGTACAACTTAGGAACAACACAATGCTGCAGAATCAGAGATAATGGAGAAAAACAGATGCTCAAAAGTTGATTTTAAATTTCTTCAATGATTAAAGAACATACATCCCTTACAAAAGTTAAGATAGGGAGATGAAGCAAGGGAGCACAGTAATGGATGTATATACCATGGAATGATTAAAAAGGAGGAGACAAAAAATAAAAACAGAACATCCTGAAAAGCAGAATGTCACTCTACTAAGGATCTCTCAAAAAAAGACAGGAATATTAAAGTAAGCAAAAAAAAAATACGAAGTCAGATTTGGGAATGTCTTATTTGTGTTATAGTAACAAGAAGGCTTATATAGAGATGAAGAACTCTTCATAGAATTCAGCTCTCTTTTTCTGCAGGATGTCATCACTTAAATATGACAAAACAAGTCAAACTTTAATGCTACAGCAAAAGAAAGCTTTTTCAGTAATTTTTTCCACGGATACCACTAGATTTAGTAGCTCTCTCCCTGATCCCAACAACAGATACTATTTCCCAAAGTTGGCTTCAAAACAGCCTTTGCACACAGAAGTTGGCTGAATTACGCAATGTGGTACAGTTACAGAAAGCTAACCACCTAAAATGCTGAGTTAAAATCAAAAACAAAAGATCACTGGTCTGAAAGTATCAGCTACAAATTCAGGATTTTGTTTTACTTCCATCTCTACACACTCTCCTCCCCAGTTTATGCTTTGTCATTTTGAATGTCATTCAAAACCACGTATCGCTGTCTAATATTCACAGCAAATGGTGTAGCAGGGTGAAAAGACCTATTGCTTAGTTATTAGTTCATTGTAGCACACAGACGCATTGCGTATATTGTTCAGCCACACAATTTTGTGGAAGTATTCTGTTGTATAGAGGAAATACACAATTTTGTATCTGAAACCAAACAAGCAGAGGTATGCAAGAAAAAGCACAACTGGAAACAGATAGTAAGGGAAGCATTGTGAAGACAATGAGCAAGGACTATATTTTTAAGATTGAATATTCTCAAAACTATGGAAAGAAAGTTTCTTTGATGACTCTGGATAAACAGACATATAGGGAACAGGCAGCTCCAACATCAAGTGAATCAAATAACTGAAAGCTCTTTATCAGAAGTGAAGAGAGGTAAAAAAAAGGAAGGACCTTTAACACTTAATTAAACTCAAATTTTGTGAGAAGATGATGAAAATAAAGTATACCTATTGATTACAAGAGTAACAAAATTTGGGAATAAAATCAAGTGCCTGGACAAGAAATTACTATGAGCTGAATTCATTTTGATCATTTCCCTGAAACAGTGCACTGACTTTCAAAATACAAAAATACATTAAATATTTAAGGAGCAAAGTTCTCATCTGCATGTAACTATTCAAAGGATATCCAAAGACTTCAGAAGTTACACTGCTTTCAGATGGAGTTGAGGCTCTGACTCTTTGGAAGGCTGAGACACTTACAAACATCTAAAGGTCTAAATCTTAAAATACAAAGAAATAATACAGGCAGTCTGAGAATTTATTTTGAAAAGCACTTCAAGAGCAAACGTCAAGTTCAAAATCAACGTTAAGAGACATTTCTTCCTCATATCTTTTTAAACATTTAGTAATATTTGCCAAAATTAATATTTAGTAAGCACCTGCTAAAGAGATGAACTCGCAATACTGTGTACTCAAAGCACATTCATGACGTAGACAGAGAAAATACCAACCATAACTACCATCTCTAAACAGCTCCAAGAAATACTGAAAGAGCTACAAAAAGTGACACAAAGGATACTGAGAAAGAATATGCAAATATAAAATATAACAAGTAGGCTTGCATGCAACACAGCTGTTTTCACATACAGATTACATTAACATTCTTATCTGTATGAAGAAAGGATAGTAAGGAATACTGTGAAAAAGAAATCCATTTCTTACAGAAAAATTCTAGAAATTAAAATGCCTTTAAAAAATAAGTATATAATCAATTTAAGAGTTTCTGCTTTTACACTTCTGAAATACAGAAGAGTTAAATGTATCTTTTTATTCTTGATATTTTTTTTTCCTATTGCCAAGCCTCTTTCATTAAAGGACTTTATTTCAGTCCTTTAATTGATGCTCCACAAAACAACTTTATTTTTTCCAGATGTTTCCCTCTTCTTAGAACTTGCATGAAGAAAATATTAATTAATGCTTGTTAATTCACTGTCTCCTTGTTCAAAAGTTTCCAATGTTAACTTACCCCGTTCAAGCTACCTAAGTCCTTCACTAAGTGTTCATCTGTAGAAGGTTCATAGTTAAGTACAGCATGTTGCTTGTCCACACTTCGTGACTAAAACAAGAATAAAAAAGTATTTCAAAAACAGATCAAAAGAGAATAATTATTTCTTAGAGTAATCCAATTATGTCATTTTCATGCATTTCTTCTAACTATACATAAAATAATTAATCCCCCACTAACTTTATCTCTAACCACATCAAAATGTGAGTACTCATAGCAGAATCATAAAATTCAGAATAATTGTTTTTTTAATGTTTCGTCAAACGTGATTCTAAGTTATATCCAGCCATCTCTTATCAAAAAAAATTTCCCCACGCTATTACTGATGTTTAATCTTACAACATCAATTTCACCTTTATTTCTCTCTTGCTCTCCTTCTCCCTTTAACTGCATGCTTATATCAAAACATGATTAACAGTTCTCTGGTATGGTTGTACTCTCTAAAACGTACAGTTTTCTTGTCATGCATTTCTAAACCCTTCATTATGTTGTCTGGGATTCTTACCGCCGTATACGAACAATCATTCATTTTTTTCCTTCTTGATCTTAATTTTATGAACAAAACATCTATAACCTCTTTGCTAAATGTCTAAGTGGTTCCTGAGCTCCTATTCCCAGTCTCTGATTTGTTTCTTTAAGTCTTTATTTCCTTCTATAAGTATTTCAGCAATTATATATATATATATATATATATTTTTTTTAATAAAACTTGCTTCCAAATGTGAACAATATATTAGGAATAAACTTTGTTGCTATTTTCTCTGAGAACACCATCTCTTTAAGACCCAAATTCCCAGACCCATATAGCACTGAGAATGACTTCTGGACTCATTCCTGTATTAGCACCCGCAGTCTGACAGTTTTAAGGATCCCAGATCACAAAGGCATTAGTGAGATCAAGGCATCAGACCATGCAATCATAGCTTCTAAGGAAACACTTTCACTGAACTTTTAATAATTATTTTATTCAATTATATATTACATTATTAACCAATTATTATCTTTATGTGTCACTGCATACCATAGAATCATAGAATGGCATGGATTAGAAGGGGCCCCAAGGATCATTAAGTTCCAATCCCCCTGCCACAGGCAGGGCCACCAACCTCCAGATCTGGTACTAGACCAGGTTGCCCAGAGCCCCATTCAACCTCTGAACACCTCCAGGCCTCTTTGGGCAGCCTGTTCCAGTACCTCACCGCTCTCTTGTAAAGAACTTCCCTGATACCCAATCTAAACCTTCCCTCCTTGAGCTTTAAACCATTCCCCCTTATCCTATCACTGCCTATCCTTGTAAAGAGTTGATTCTCCTCCTTTTTATAATCCCTTTTAAATACTTGAAGGCTTCAATGAGGTCTCCTCGCAGTCCTCTCTCTTCCAGGCTGAAAAAGCCCAGCTCCCTCGGCCTGTCTTTGCAGGGGAGGTGCTCCAGCCCTCTGATCGTCTTCATGGCCCCCCACTGGACCCTCTTCAACAGCTCCACATCTTCCCTGGATGCATTACTCCAGATGGGGCCCTCACGAGGGCAGAGTAGAGAGAGACAATCACCTTCCTTTCCCTGCTGGCCACACCTCTCCTCTTCTGATAGAGCCAAGGATCCATTGGCTTTCTGAGCTGCAAAAGCACACTGCTGGCTCATGTTCAGATTTTCATCCACCAGGATGCCCAGGTCCATCTCCACAGGACTACTCTCAAGGGGTTCTTCTCCCAGCCTGCACATGTATCTGGGGTTAGTCTGACCCAAGCGCAGAACCTCGCACTTCACTATGTTGAACCTCATGAGGTTCTCAGGGCCACCTTTCAAGTTTGTTTTAGAATATTTATAAAATATATTATGAAAATAGGAGTTGAATGCTTACTGTGGGAAGTAAATCTATATTCCCAGATGTGAATAAAACCCCTACTAGATGAACAGCGGGTAGGCATGACCTAAGATCTAATTCTATAAAACACAGAACAGAGTTAAAATGCTCCCTAATAAGGCTACTATAACATGCTTTCTGACAAGAGTATGAATAAAAGCATTAAAAGCCACTTTCTTTATCATGCATTGTCCACATGCTTTGCAGTAAGAGAACAACCAAGTTGTCAGAAGTGGAATGGAAGGTCCTGCACAAAGAGCTATACATACAGAACAAGAACACATTATGAGCTTCTCCTTTGGTTGGTTCCTCCCCCTTCAGCAATGTGGTATCACATTCATGCTGGCATGTAGACCTAACAGCAGGCTACACAGAATATTCTTGAAATCACAGGGATTCTTTTTAAACTACCTCTAAAGTTAACAGACAGTAACATCCATGATTGACTGGACTCTGTTCACAACACCCATCCAGCAGGCAGCTGCTTTTGGAAGTGTTGATGACTGAAGTTTTGTAACAAAATAATAAATGCTCAAGTAATAAGCTTCACTCTAAAGACTGAACAGTTATGGATAGGGACCATTAAAGCTACGTTATTTACTAATGAGAAAACTGCAAAACCACAATAAACCACAAACATATATGTGTGTGCACGTGTATATATATAAAATGTATATAATATATTTATATTATATTCTTATATTTATATTATTATTTTCCTCATGTGACATATGTATGTATGTCTGTATATATATATATATGTATGTATGTATATATATATATATACACACACACACACACACACACATATATATATATATATAACATTAGAAAAATATATTACACAGTCTCCAGTTATGGCAAGATTTAAGGAAAATGATTGATAGCAAGGAACTCAAGCTACGTTTGAGTATGTAAAACTGAAAAAAAGTTAAACATTCTTCCTATCAGCATTTGCAATCATTCATTTAGGTAGCAGAAGGTAGGAAATCATGTCAGACAAACTGATTTCGTTAAACAAGGTATTTGACTCCATGAATGAAAGACAGGTTAACTGAGGGTTAAGTAAGCTTTGTTTAGGTTTGAGTGGACCAGGTTGCTCAGAGAGACTGTGAATGCCCCCTTCATGGAAGCAGTCAAGGCCAGACAGAATGTGGCTTTGTGCAACCTTGTCTAAGGAGAGGTATCCCTGGCTATTAGCAGGGGGACTGGAACTAGATGATCTTAATGGTTCCTTCCAACCCAAACCATTCCATCATTCTACCAACAAAGCATTTTTAGTCTTTCCTAGTGGGATAAAGTGATTCGCTGCAGTATATATTATATAAAAGCATATCTCCAAATCACTTTTTTGAAAGAGAGATTGAGCTGCCCAACTACTGCTGTTACTTGCAGTCAGCCAATCCAAGTGAATATTAAAAGGCTAAAAGGTATGATAAAAGAGAGCACAGAAGTGGAGATGATAGTATTAGGAAAGACAGTTAAAGAAAAAGCACTTAACAAAAAGACTAAGTACTGGGAAATATGTCTTTAAGAAATTCATTCCACTTCATCTAGCATCTAGGAATGAAATCTCTAATCTCTAATATCAGACTGATCAAAAATTTTACATTCAAAATAATAAAACAGTAGCACTTGCAATCAACATAAAACTATTATAATAATTATGATTTTACTTAATTAACACTAACTGAAAACACACACACTTATATTTTAATACAAAGTTTGTAGATAACCAGTCACATCCTAGGAAGTTGCAACTGTTATTTTACTTGGCATGAAAACCTGTATAGATTAAACTGGAAATAACATTTACTGTTGGATAGGGGAGGTGAGAATCAGTTTCTGTAATTGCCTTACGTACAATTAATGAATGATGTTATGGTATAGCAGAGAGCCTGGCTATGTAGTTGTTACACCAAAGCAGGAAACAGAAATGATAGGTACACTTACCCATATCCTGGACTTGCGTGGAAAACTCCTGTGGAGT